CTGGTGTCACAAAAATTTTAAAATTATTTTTTCTTATGAAATGATAGAGAATCTTTTCCCGATGGCAACGACACAAAAGTACGAAATTTGATGGAAAACTTATGGAATTATGCTCTCGCAAAGTTAGCGACCTCAGCGATATTAATGAATCGGCAATTTCCCCCAATTTGAGCCCTATTTTTGGCTAATTCCATTGTTCCAGTCGACCAAACTCATAACTATTTCTTTAGAACTCCATTTGTTCTATTGGTTGAGTACAAGAAATGCCCATTTACTGGATTACATACTACCCAATAAAGTGGTCAAGAAATTGGCAATTTTGTGACCTATTTCACGCAAAATTAAAAAAAAAAAAATGACACATTCTAAATAGGGTCCTGCATGAACAAGCAGACATTCCTGGCTCTAAATAACCATTTTCATTGTTCATCAGTCAGTCTCCAGGCCCCTTGATATTACTCTTGCTTTCTATTTTGAATTTTTATTTTAAACAAAAAATGTGAAGATTTACTAGTTTATGCAGACTACTGCAATATTTTAATGATTGTCTTAATAATGGTCAAACCATCATGAAAACCTTGCATATTAGAAGGTAGAGGATTTATTGGATAATGGACATCTTTTGTTTACTTATGAAACATTGGCAAAAATCAAATATTTCCCCTAACTTTAAGCTCATTTCAAAGTTCTCTTTCATGGTAAAACAATCAAAATCATCTCTATTTCCATAATATGTTTTCATTCTATCAAAATTGAGACCAAGAAAAAACCGAGATACGGAACAATAAATACTATACGAAATAGACCACAAAAATTCGGCATTTTAATGAACCCTTTCAGGCGTCCCGTTCACGTAGATATACGGCATGGTCGGTGAGTGTCCAAAACAGTAGATCTACGCCTAATTCTAGCGCCGTCAAATTTAGCGCGAAAGCGCTTCATAGGCCTACATATGAGAGAATGGGTTTCTGCCGCGGTGGGTGTGCGACGTAAACAAAAAATCGAGGCGCCTGCATAGCATTGTGGGAACGCCGGCTCAGTCACCCTTGTTCACCTTGTCTCGTCGCAAGTCAGCTTCACTCCCGGGAAAATTGGGACTTCTCCTTTCCTGGTCTGATATTCTGACATGATGGATGGCAGTGGAAATGAAGACGAATTCTCGGCTTGATTGAGGTAGTGACCGAAAATAATGACCAGGATATCGATAATAGTGCAGAAAAACCCGACGATCCTCGACCTACTACCTCTGGTGTGGGCACTCGTGATCTCGGTCGGTTGTCCTAAACGTAGAGACAAAACTAATATTTTCCCGTGGGCCTTGCTTTACTTCTGTATGCGATGAGTTCTGATGTGGATTGTGGTTTTTATTGCGCTCGAACGGTCATTCGAGTATAGTGATAGTGAGGAAACATATTCACCAGTGAAGCGTCGGTATGTGCGGCCCGCCGGCATGCGCTCGGGTAGTGTACCTTATGCTATGCCCAGGGACGGGTACATCCGTAGTACATCCCGGAGTACATCCCGTGGCCCTACCAACACGTTAGGTAGTGATAGTGAGGATGATGTGGCTACAACATTGGCATGGATGTATAGGCCACATGAACATCAGTGGATGGTGTTAGTGGGGCTGGTGGTGGTAGTGGCACCGCCATGCGTGACTCGCTGTATGCCACGCGGGAACCCACGCTGCTGACTTCGTCAGTTCAAGGACAAAGCGGCAAGGCGTCACACCAGGCCGCCAACAACCACCCGTACAACCAGCCTTGATGTCCAGTATCACCAGCAAACCGTATCGGGGGATTTGGCAGACAAAATCCACAATTTTGTTCCCAGCCTTCACCACTTTGATGACTCGCAAAGTGGAATTCTACCTACCTGTCCCTTGGAACACCGGCCAATGGAACTGGAATTCTTTGAATTATTCTTTGACCAGCATTGTGGAAACTATGTCAGGGAAAGTAATAAGTATTTTCAGTTACACCATGGCAAATCGATCTTTCAACCACAGTCAAGACTTCACAGGTGGAAAAGGATGACTGTTGCAGAAAGAATATGTATTTGCTTTTTGCAACAATAAGCTTATGCCTCACGTCTATAAGCATAATATAAAAGCATTCTGGTCCACAGATGGGCTAATTTGTAACCATCCTTCAGGAAATAATACCAGTGAACAGGTTTATCTTACTCTTACGTATGTTGCACTCTCTGACAAAACCAGGCCTGACAGAAGTGACGGTTATACAAGATTAGAGAAATGTTTTCATGTATCTCAAACAAAAGTTCAGGATATACTTTTATCCATTCATGAATCTTGTTAATTGACGAGTCTTTGATTATGTTCAAGGTAGACTGTCATTCAAGCAGTATATACGAGCAAGAGGAACCGCCTTTGGTATAAAATTGTTTGTACTCTGTGTTTGTGCAGGTGCCCTGGCGTTGGATATTGTTGTATACACGGGTTGTAAAACAAGAAATATCAATAGATCGATTTATATGGGTATATCAGGTGCGTTAGTGAGAAACATGATGGCACCTTATCTTGGTAAAGGGCCATACATTATATACGATAACTGGTACACAAGCCCTTACTCCAGGGATTTATGCGAGGTGAACAAGACAGATGTGGTGTGGGCACAGTGCGTTCTAATCGGTAAACATATCATGCCAGGCTAAACGCAGTGTGTTCGTGGTTGAAGACATGCAGGTGTTTATGCCAATGACATCATGGCAATACGGTGGCTTGAAAACGAGATGTCACATTGTTGACAAACATTCACCCGCATAATGAAATGCAAGTCAGTGGCAAAGTTGATCGAAAGGGACTATTGAACGTATTCGAAAACCAGTGACAGTGATTGTTATACACAAAACTGCGCTTGGTTGACAAGAGTGAATGCAGATTGGTTTTGTTGACTGTGTTCGTAAAGAGTTACAAGTGGTACATGAAAACTTTTTTCCATTACAGGACATTTCAATGCTGAATGCTATAATATGCTACAAATAAAGACTTGTAACAGACCAGTATGGTGAATTTTGTTTGTCTGTTGTCAGACAAATCATTATGATGCAGTACCAGGTAACAACACCTGCAATACAACTGTCCTCGATTCATCACAATATACCAAGCGTTTGAGAAGAGAAGGTGATCATTTCATAAATACAGCTTCCTTCAACTCAAGAAATTTTGCCTCAGAAGAGATGCATGATTGTCTGTGCACAAACAAAACGCGGCAACAAAGACGCAACGACACACGGTTTTTGCTGTGAGGATGTAAGGTGCCTCTGTGCATGGTGCTTGTTTCAAGAGTTCCACAAGCTCCAGGCAGTTCATAAACCATGTCAGTGATTGTAAATATGTAAATATATGAGTAGAACATTAGTATTATACAATATTTGTGCATGTTTATGTATAATTAACAACAGTGGTAAACAATAATATGATAAATAACTATAGTGCGGTTATTGTGTTCAATACAGTGAGTTTATATATATAAAATATATTACAGTATTGTATCACAGGCCCCCAAATGTTAGTAGGAATTAGAAAAAAATTGAAAAGAAAAGAAAAAACAACTTAAAACACAAAATAATATAATTACGCGTATGTGGAATTCCGTCGATGGTTGCCGCACCACATCATTTTCTACAAACTTCTTGGCACTGTATCTCGGTAAGTACTGATCAGATTCTAATTTTTTTTGTTTTATTACCTCACAAAAATTTTGCTCTTTAATTCTGTAAGGAAAAAAAATAATTTTTTTTTTTTTCAAATTCTTGGCACTGGTGCGTGACTTCAGATTTTGGCCTTGGACCCTGAAAGGGTTAAAAAACGGTCAGTTTTCTTTCTCATTATGCACTGCGTGCTGCAGGATTTTTTTATATGGTGCACACTGACCACACAGACCCATTCTCTACATATGGGCCCTTACTGCTTTCTCCTGCTTGATTTGAAGCCGCTAGAATTTATGAGTACGTATATATACGTCAAACACAGTAGCTCACAAGACGTATATATACGACCAAAACAGTCAAAGGGTTAATGGTTTTTGTGTTCTCGTTTTCTTGGTCTCATTTGATAGAATGGAAGATATATTACAGAAATACATATGATTTTGATTGGGTTTAGTACTGAAAATAGCTTGAAATTGAGCTCAAAGAAGCAGAAATGTTAGATTTTTGATGTTCAAGAGTAAACAAATCTTGTCACGCATCCAATACACATCAACTGGTGGGTCTAATATGCATTCATGAATGCACTTATATTATTTATACAATTATTACAGTAGTCTGAATAACAGTAAATCATCTCATTTCTGTGTGAATAAAAATTTGAAATGAAAACCAAGTGTAATGTAAGACGGGCCTGGAGACATGACTAATTAATAGAGAATATATTATTTTAGTGCCAGAAATATCTGCAGTGTTTATTCTGGCCCCTATTTTAAAACTGGCTTTTCTTGAACTTTGTGTGAAATTGGCCAAATTAGTAATTTCTGATCGCTTTTTTGTGTAGTTGAAATAGGTAAATGGACAGTTTCTTTTACTCAGTCGATAGAATGAAAGGAGTTCTAGCAAAATAACTATGAGTTGGGTTGGATGGAACAAAGGAATTGGCCCAAAGTAATGCTCAAACTGGGTGAAATTGCCTATGCATAAATATCACCAAGACTGTTAACTTCGGGAGAGTGTACCTCCATAAGTTTTCCATCAAATTTCGAACTTTCGGTTTCATTACCTTTGGAAAAAGATTCCCCATCATTTCATAAGAATTTTTTTTGTTTTTTAATTCTTCAACACTATGAGCAAGTTTGCGAGTAGGGGTCTCGACACTCAAAGGGTTGAATGGCAATTTATAAAGAGCTTAGTGTACTTAAATATTGATAAAGATTCACTGTTTCATGCATGGTGCTCAAGAAGAGCTGAATATTTGGAGAAGGGAGGAATTCCTGTGTTCATGCACTTTACTGGTACCCACAAAGTTCAAATTTTTTCCAACTTACTTGCGAAGCAACCACTGGCAGCTGAAGCATGACAGCCTTGAGAGCATGACAGTCTAAGAGCAACTGCTCACAACCAACACCACTGATGGGTCGGCACTTGTACACCTGCACACCAAATATTTTAATCTACATGAATAAAAACTTAAATCATAAACATTATGAAAGATCTAAAAAAATGAAGGTTAATAATTGCTCTTTAAAACTATTACAAAGTGTTTAAAACTGATTCTGTGAATATAAAAATTATACTTTAGAGCAATTTAAATATGGAATTATACTACAGAAGACAATATTACAAGCCTATTAATATTAATACACCATGCACATTACCTGCTGAACAAACTTGTTAAGTATTGCTGCTGCTAACTTATCACAAAACCTGGAGAAGAAATTGTGATGTGATTACCTAGGACAGTAGAATGGAACCTCACATTCCCAAATATATAACATATTATACTTCAGAAATGGTAGTAATGAGGAATGGAACCGAGGTAGTAAAAATGATGACTGAAACTGAAGCAGTAGTGGCAGTACTGAGGATTGGAACTGTATTAGTAGTAATGCAGATTGGAACTGTAGTAGTAGTAGTAATACTGCAGACTGGAACTGTAGTAGTAGTACTGAGGATTGGAACTGCAGTAATGAGGATTCGAACTGTAGTAGTAATACTGAGGACTGGAACTGTAGTAGTACTACTGCAGATTGGAACTGCTGTAGTAGTACTGAGGATTGGAACTGTAGTAGTACTGAGGATTGGAACTAAAGTACTGTCGACTGGAAGTGTAGTAGTACTGAGGATTGGAACTGTAGCAGTAGTACTGTGGATTGGAACTGTAGTAGTAGTACTGTGGATTGGAACTGTACTAGTAGTGAAGATTGGAACTGTAGCAGCACTGTGGATTGGAACTCTAGTAGTAGTACTGTGGATTGGAACTGTAGTAGTAGCACTGTGGACTGGAACTATAGTAGTAGTAGTAGTACTGTGGATTGGAACTGTAGTAGTAGTACTGTGGATTGGAACTGTAGCAGTAGCACTGTGGATTGGAACTGTAGTAGTAGTACTGTGGATTGGAACTGTAGTAGTAGTAATGTGGATTGGAACTCTAGTAGTAGTACTGTGGATTGGAACTGTAGTGAAGATTGGAACTGTAGTAGTACTGTGGATTGGAACTGTAGTGAAGATTGGAACTGTAGTACTGTGGATTGGCACTGTAGTAGTAGTACTGTGGATTGGAACTGTAGTAGTAGTACTGTGGATTGGAACTGTAGTAGTTCTGTGGATTGGAACTGTAGTAGTACTGTGGATTGGAACTGTAGTAGTAGTACTGTGGATTGGAACTGTAGTAGTAGTACTGTGGATTGGAACTGTAGTGAAGATTGGAACTGTAGTACTGTGGATTGGCACTGTAGTAGTAGTACTGTGGATTGGAACTGTAGTAGTAGTACTGTGGATTGGAACTGTAGTAGTAGTACTGTGGATTGGAACTGTAGTAGTACTGTGGATTGGAACTGTAGTAGTAGTACTGTGGATTGGAACTGTAGTAGTAGTACTGTGGATTGGAACTGTAGTAGAAAAGATTGGAACTGTATAGTAGTGAAAATTGGAACTGTAGTAGTAGTACTGTGGATTGGAACTGTAGTAGTACTGTGGATTGGAACTGTAGTAGTAATACTGTGGATTGGAACTGTAGTAGTACTGTAGTGAAGATTGGAACTGTAGTAGTACTGTGGATTGAAACTGTAGTAGTAATACTGTGGATTGGAACTGTAGTTGTAGTGAAGATTGGAACTAGTAGTACTGTGGATTGGAATTGTAGTAGTACTGTGGATTGGAACTGTAGTAGTAGTACTGTGGATTGGAACTGTACTAGTAGTGAAGATTGGAACTGTAGATTGGAACTCTAGTAGTAGTACTGTGGATTGGAACTGTAGTAGTAGCACTGTGGACTGGAACTATAGTAGTAGTAGTACTGTGGATTGGAACTGTAGTAGTAGTACTGTGGATTGGAACTGTAGCAGTAGCACTGTGGATTGGAACTGTAGTAGTAGTACTGTGGATTGGAACTGTAGTGAAGATTGGAACTGTAGTAGTTCTGTGGATTGGCACTGTAGTGGTAGTACATATGTACTGTGGATTGGAACTGTAGTAGTACTGTGGATTGGAACTGTAGTAGTTCTGTGGATTGGAACTGTAGTAGTACTGTGGATTGGAACTGTAGTAGTAGTACTGTGGATTGGAACTGTAGTAGTAGTACTGTGGATTGGAACTGTAGTAGTAAAGATTGGAACTGTATAGTAGTGAAAATTGGAACTGTAGTAGTAGTACTGTGGATTGGAACTGTAGTAGTACTGTAGTGAAGATTGGAACTGTAGTACTGTAGATTGGAACTGTAGTAGTAGTACTGTGGATTGGAACTGTAGTAGTAGTACTGTGGATTGGAACTGTAGTAGTCGTAATGTGGATTGGAACTGTAGTGGTAGTACTGTGGACTGGAACTGTAGTAGTACTGTGGATTGGAACTGTAGTAGTAGTACTGTGGATTGGAACTGTAGTAGTAATACTGTGGATTGGAACTGTAGTTGTAGTGAAGATTGGAACTGTAGTAGTACTGTGTATTGGAACTGTAGTAGTACTGTGGATTGGAACTGTAGTGGTAGTACTGTGGATTGGAACTGTAGTAGTAGTACTGTGGATTGGAACTGTAGTGGTCGTAATGTGGATTGGAACTGTAGTGGTAGTACTGGACTGGACAACTGTAGTAGTACTGTGGATTGGAACTGTAGTAGTAGTACTGTGGATTGGAACTGTAGTAGTAATACTGTGGATTGGAACTGTAGTTGTAGTGAAGATTGGAACTGTAGTAGTACTGTGGATTGGAACTGTAGTAGTAATACTGTGGATTGGAACTGTAGCAGTAGCACTGTGGATTGGAACTGTAGTAGTAGTACTGTGGATTGGAACTGTAGTGAAGATTGGAACTGTAGTAGTACTGTGGATTGGCACTGTAGTGGTAGTACATATGTACTGTGGATTGGAACTGTAGTAGTAGTACTGTGGATTGGAACTGTAGTAGTTCTGTGGATTGGAACTGTAGTAGTACTGTGGATTGGAACTGTAGTAGTAGTACTGTGGATTGGAACTGTAGTAGTAATACTGTGGATTGGAACTGTAGTTGTAGTGAAGATTGGAACTGTAGTAGTACTGTGGATTGGAACTGTAGTAGTACTGTGGATTGGAACTGTAGTGGTAGTACTGTGGATTGGAACTGTAGTAGTAGTACTGTGGATTGGAACTGTAGTAGTCGTAATGTGGATTGGAACTGTAGTGGTAGTACTGTGGACTGGAACTGTAGTAGTACTGTGGATTGGAACTGTAGTAGTAGTACTGTGGATTGGAACTGTAGTAGTAATACTGTGGATTGGAACTGTAGTTGTAGTGAAGATTGGAACTGTAGTAGTACTGTGGATTGGAACTGTAGTAGTACTGTGGATTGGAACTGTAGTGGTAGTACTGTGGATTGGAACTGTAGTAGTAGTACTGTGGATTGGAACTGTAGTGGTAGTACTGTGGACTGGAACTGTAGTAATAGTACTGTGGATTGGAACTGAAGTAGTAATACTGTGGATTGGAACTGTAGTAGTACTGTGGATTGGAACTGTAGTAGTAGTGTGGATTGGAACTGTACACAAATAACCCGCACATAAAAGAGAGAAGCTTACGACGACGTTTCGGTCCGACTTCGACCATTTACAAAGTGTGACTTTGTAAATGGTCCAAGTCGGACCGAAACGTCGTCATAAGCTTCTCTCTTTTATGTGCGGGTTATTTGTGTATCGTTCCAGTCACGGTATTGTGCCTTTTTTTTGGTTATTTATTGGAACTGTAGTAGTGAAGATTGGAACTGTAGTAGTATGGTGGATTGGAACTGTAGTGTCAGCATAGTTGCTGATCCCCTTATATGTGGTCCTTAAAATATGGTGCTAGTACCCGTAGTAAGAGTACCAAAACAGTGGTAGTGGTTGGGTGAGTGGGTGAGTAGGCTGACAGGGCTAAGGCCGAGACCGCGTGGTAACTGGGCGTATGGGATGAACGGCGTAAGCCTCACTGAGGACACCCTGACTGGCGCGAAAATAATTCTAAGCCAGCTGGCTTAAAACAGACCCACGAAATACCACAACACCACAGGGATGAAAAAGCACTCAGAATGGCTTGGAGCTTGAGCACAAAGCGATGAGGAAGACTGTACCCACGTGGCTTGCTTGAGTACTGGGTAAGACACCTGGGTTAGTTGCTGGCTGGCTTATCTTAACCCTTCACACAGAATAGCTTGATAACTTCTCACGATGAGCACAGCAAAGGTGGAAAACTGGCTTGGCAGGCAAAGGTTGGATGGTATCAGGCTTGGGCTGACTGGGTTGTTCTGACTCCCCCACCACAGACTGTCTTACTGGCTTACTTTGCAAACTCAGGTCAACCCCTCGGGAGTGATGCAAATAAGCAGATAAACACTAATACAAAGAGACTGGCCAGTGAATAATGTAGTGGCTGGTAGACGCTTGATTGAGGTAGCTGGCTTGGCTAGGTCGGCCTACTGGCGACACGAAATGGCCATCTTGCTGGTCGAAAGAAATCTCTGTACATCAGCGTAATTATCAATTTTACGCCCACACCGCTGTCACCAAATTGTCGTGTGAGGTTCGGTAGGAGATTGATGGATGAGGTAAACTCACTTGATGGATGGTAACGCTATATTGTCAGACTGTGGTAATGGGAGATGGAGCGCAGCCTGCCGTGTTCTGCCTTCTTCTATGCCTATGCGTCGAGTGAGAGGGAGGCAGCTTGTCTCACTGACTCATGCTGTATCCCGTGACGTCATACAGTCACTCGGCCTAGGGATCTTCTATATAAAGCACATGGATGGTACTATGATACTCAGCTAATCTATATAACACATATAAGGGGATCAGCAACTATGCTGACAGTAGTAGTAATGTGGATTGGAACTCTAGTAGTAGTACTGTGGATTGGAACTGTAGTAGCAGTACTGTGGATTGGAATTGTAGTAGTAGTACTGTGGATTGGAACTGTAGTAGTAGTACTGTGGACTGGAACTGTATACTAGTGAAGATTGGAACTGTAGTAGTACTGTGGATTGGAACTGTAGTAGTAATACTGTGGATTGGAACTGTAGTTGTAGTGAAGATTGGAACTGTAGTAGTACTGTGGATTGGAACTGTAGTAATAAAGATTGGAACTGTAGTGGTAGTGAAGATTGGAACTGTAGTAGTAAAGATTGGAACTGTAGTAGTACTGTGGATTGAAACTGTAGCAGTAGTAGTACTATATCAAACTATATCAAAGACTGGTAATGTAGTAGA